AGTCTGTTTAAACAAAGAACCAGTAAGTTAATCATTCTTTACCAAGCCCACAGAAAATTTCTGCAGCCATCTCTTTAACTTTTGCCTTCCACTGATGCCTCATCTTTTCATTTCCTCTTGGCTAGCTTAGTTCCAGTTCTTGAGGAAGTACTCCAGATTCACGTTCCACCACCAATTTGCAAACAATAAGCCACAGATGAAGAAATTCAGGCAGATGTAATTCTGTTGACCTCAGTGAGCAATACCTAGCTGCACAGCAGTCTCACTGTTGCCGTAGCACACTATTGATTAAACAGTCTTTGCATGTGCTGAGTATTCCTTAATACTCACACGCAATGCAGTCCTCTTCTGTTGCTTTATTTTAGTGCAGTACACTATGTTATTTACGTGCTATGCTAAGGGGCTAGACTTCTTAATACATTTCTTTGCAGCACATATTTATCTCATGCTTTTTTTTTTCTGCAGGAAATTATTCAAGTTGGGAAAAAAAATCCACAGTTGTTCTTCATAAACCTTATCCTACCTGAAGGATGCTACCCTAAAATAATCAAAATCAAACCTGTGGTACATGTTATTAAATATCAATTACTTTTCTATAGATAATGCATCAGGCAGTAATACTTTAAAATATCTATTAAATATATTTACTTTAAAATATCTATGACTGTTTATAAAATACACTGTATTTGTCTGATGTCAACTGTGTTATGCACAGCCCCATTCCTTTCCTTTTTTAGAGAGAATATAAGAATTTTACTAATACTTTCTGCCTCAGGCTTAGGGTCTCATTCTGTGGTATTAGGAAATGGCCTTTCAGTGGGAAAGACAGAATGGGAAAGACAGATTCATAGAGTCAGCTACAATTCTTCTGTGACCATACAATTAAGCCTCTCTTGCAGACCTTTCCCAAGTTATCCTTACACAATGTATTTATTTTACTCACAATAATAATGGGCCAATCTTATCTGCATTTCAAGAAAACATTTCTAATATAAAAGAATGCATGTTACAGTGTTTAATACGAAAGTGGCTGAAACTTCTGCCGCACCAGGCAGAGCAGAGCAGGACAACCCCTACCTTTGCCCAATGCCAGTGCTGCCCCTTACACAGCCAGGGAGAAAACAAAAGAGCTCACAAATAATCATAGGAGACAAATAAGACAGCTTTATGTTCGACTTTTATTGAAAAATTTAAACTGCATTGCATATCTTCTTTATAACTTCAACGTTTCTTTAACCACAAAACAGAGATTCTGTTTAAAAAATCTCTTTGTTTTTATCACCATTCTAAAAACAGATTATCAACTGAGTAACAACAATTTTAAAATCCTGGGCTACTACCAAGTCCCCTGGTTCTGTGCAATGAATGGTATAATCTAACAGTCTTCTCCAGAGAAGTACCGTTAGTAATACAATCAGAATTTTTCTCATTCAAAATCAACAGCTGCTGCTGGTTTTCATCTAACGATCAGCAATTTCCATAAAATTACTTCAATTCACAAGCTCTGTAACTACAAATTCAGCCTAACACTTGGCTATTATTTGCTTGATCTGAATTCACCCATCCCAAATTACAGTGATTACTTAAAAGTAACTTAAAAGACAAAATTGCTACCTTAGAATGTATTCTAAACCTCAGAAGAACAAAGTTACTCACCTGAAATAGTAATGCTTTGAATTAGCCAATATTTCTGTATGTCCATACCTCCTGAACTCTCACGGCCAGTAGAGTATGGATTTAAAAAAAAAAAAAAAAAAAAAAAAAAAACAGGAACATCCCAGGTAACCTTTTGTTTGAGAAGCTGCAAGATATTATTCACAGATGGAGATTACCTACTGAGAAGAAAACACAGATGAGTTTTCTTCCTGGTGAATCATGGAATCATAGAATGGCTTGGGCGGGAAGCAACCTTGAAGTTCCAACTCCTAGTGAAAAGCAGCTAACCACATTGGAAAAAATTATGAGCCCTGTGACTGATACTAAAATTAAGAAAAGATACAATTGTGGTATCACCTGTGACAAGACACAGCACTGCAGAAAGGCAAGATAAAATTCACAGTGTTGACAAATGGATTTAAAGTACCTGTCTCTGGAGAAAACACCTCTGTGTTAACTGACTCATTTCTGAGGCAAGCTGGAAGAGCTCGGCTTCCTCCTGGATACAAATCGTCAGCTACAACCTCTGCTGCTTCTTACCTCCAAAAAGCAAGATGCTTCACTAAATGAAGCAGCAGAAATTTTAGCAAGCAGAACACAGACTGTGTGCTGAGGAGGTCTGGTTCTATTTCTGACTACATCACAGGACTGCCCAAAGCTTGCTGTATGAATGCCAGTAAACCGTATTACAGTCTGTCCTGTGGTTTCACAGTCAGTTACATCAGATAATTCTCTGTAGTTCACGTGCTTCTAAGGAATATAAAATTTTCAAATACAATTACTGTAATATTGAGAGGATGAACTGGATACCAGATCCATGGGGTTAAAATGTTAACATTAGAAAATGAAGTGTAAGCTGGATCTTACAGTTTTCGTAATACATTTGGTGAGTTAACTTGACAAGGGAGCAAAGGAAGGTCAGTAGTTAACTGTCTTTGATCTGACTATCCTACTTGCATTGTTTCTCATAAACCACAAGGACTGAGGGAGATCCTTTAACATTCTGTGGCTGGACTAATAAGTGAGGAATTGTGAGAGACCAGATCTCCGACGGAAGACTTTCAATTGAAATGCGGCAAGCTCTTTCCTTTCAAAGCAACTTCTTTCTGCTCTTAAAAACAGTTCCCAGTGACAGACCGTATGATTTTGCTGAGCAGCTCATAACGAATGGCAATGTTATGAAAGTTGTTACTGAAGTCAGTATTCACACCGCCTATTTCTGCGTGGCAGGTCTCAGTGCAGATGTTTACATGAAAAATGTTAACTAGTAAAAACATAGCAAGATATCAGCAATATAATCCAAGAAGGTTAATGCTTAAGACGAAAAAAGTAAGATCCTAACTCCATTGTATTGATGAAAGTAACCTCATAACAGAAATATTGTGCTGTGGAAGGGGAATGAACAATACTCCTATGAAAAGCTGGAAAGGCTGTGTTGCACGATGCACTATTTACCATTTTAAGATTCTTCCTTCTATCCGTTCTGACCCTGCCGAAGATGTGAGGCAGCGTCCTCAGAAGACAACCCATGGGATCTGCAGGATGGAAGTGCCTGGTATCTTGTAACTGTCTCGCTTTCCACAGGAATGAAGGGGGGGTGAAGAGGATGTGAGGATGGCGTAATGTGCGTTCACTGAACACCTGTAAAATACTTTTATTACTGATTTGGAGGAAAAAGGAAAAAAAAAAAGGAAACCCAGCTAATTATTGACTTGCAGAGATAATAGACCTAGAGTCATATATGAAGAGGTTTAAAATAAGCATATTCCATTTATCACAATGACAGTAATTCTGTAGACAGAGAACTATTGAATTTTCATTTTGTTCCACTATTCTGCTTTCGCTATGGAGTTTTCCACTTTTTAGTATTGATTATACAACGATTAAAAGTGAACAAGCTGCAGATGACTCTGGTGCCTACACTTTGAAAAGTCTGGCTGGTTTAAAATGCTGTGACGCGTCAGCTGTATTAAAAGATTCTGAGATGAATTTTTGTTCCTTTCTTTTTTTGTTCCAAACATACAGTGAATTTAATTTCACTGAAAGAACGATGCTCATTTAGACTCCCATGTGAATCCTACAGACCTGCAGGAATTTCCCTACGGAATTTACTTAAAATGGTCCTAGAGATTAGTCCTGACGTACAACTCAAAAACAGGGGCCTTGGTTAGCAACCAATATTCACTAGAAAAGCATTCAGAACATTTAACAGACAGTCAGACGTTACATTTAATAAACTGAAATTTCTAATAGATTAAGGGGATTTCACTATTTGACAGCCTATGTACAATGTTAGAACTCCTTATAGTCAGTAAAATTATCTGTAAATTATCATTTTAAGGGCACTAGGATTTAAACGAAAGTGTTAGCTAATACTTTTGTATCTTTTCTTTGGCTCACAAATACACTAAAATACCATAAACATTATTTGGAACTTCAATAATATATAAATAGGGTACATTACAAATGGAAGAAAATACAAGACAACTCTTCAGCATGGTAAATCTCTGCATATAAATAAGCAAATATTTTGTATACCTACAATTCAACAATTACCTTGCTGTAAAACTATTACATTTAAATCCTTTTACACAAAGTCATTTAACAATAATATACACAATCTACACAAATTAACCTCTAAAAATACAGCAATAATATACCTGTTACAATGACTCTGCTACTATTATCCCCGATGTGACACTAAAGGGAAAATACAACTATTTTACTCCAAGGTGCTGTTGGACATTGCTGTTTCGTATGTGACAGAAGCACCAACAACAAGATTCAGTACTGTTACACATTTTCTTTAGCTCCTAAGATTCTACTTTTTTGAAATGTTTCTATGTGTCTATTTACCTGGCAGGAAAACCTGTAGCACATTATCCACATCATTAGTTGTTGAAGGAAAAGTTAATTTTCTTAAAGTGGAAAACATGCTGTGGCTTGGATCTAAGTTCATAACCTCTTTATATATATATATATATATATATATGTATATATATATAATTATAGATATATATTTATACTGTACATATATACTGTGCAGAGTTCACTTAATTCTCTATTTTCACACTTACTAATTTCCTGCTGACAAAAAACAAGACCAATCTAAGAGTCAACAGTACTTCAACTCCAAGATAATACATTTTCCCTCAGTACAGTGATCTAGCAATACACATATATTTCAGTAGCCTATAAGGTTTTGTCGCTGCTTAAGGACGTCTTAGGAGATTGAAACTTACAGAAAGAGAATTTCCTTAAAACATGTTCTGCAGAACTGGGTTAAAAAAATAATCAGTACTGGAAAAAAGTGAATTAGAGAAATGAATAACTCATCCACTGTACTACAGCTCCTGCCCCAATCTCTCTATTTCCTCAAGGAGGAAGTCTATGTCAGACTTAGTTGCTGCTGGGTTTGAGATGACCATTCGGAAGAAGTTGACCTTATCGCCCTGAGGCTGATATCCAACCATGGTAGTACCCGACTCCATCATCAGGGCTTTGATTTTCGGTGCCACCTTTAGAATTGAAAATAGAGGGAGGGGAGGAGGGACACAAAGAGAGAGACAGAGAGAGAAAAAGATTTTGAGAATTGTTATTTTTTCTTTGAATGTCGCAAGCTGTCTAAATGTAGGGAAAACAAGAAGAATGAAATGGACATTTTAGAAAAGCAATGTAAGATCTGTAAGAGAAAGCTGGAAAGCTTCAGGGATTGGGTATTTGAAGTAGAATTGACAATTATAATATTAATCTTTTAAGAAATCTTTTTGATTAAGAGACTAGCAGCATCCTCATATATTCAGAACATAATATTCTAATATATCTAATGTACATAATTTGTATGTCCTGATTAATTATCATTATTCTTATATCCTGAGCATTTGAGAGAGAAGTACTGAATGTGCACAGTTCTACTACAGCCTTTGGATAAAAGAGATACGTGTGATTCTGAGGTCAAGAAATGTTGGGGACGAGAGAGTATTTCTTTGGTTGTTGTTTTGTTTTTGGAAAACTCATTCCAGAATCAACTTTATGAGGGCCATGGATGCTTTTCATGAAAACGTGCTTATTCTCACAGTCAACTTGCTAAAGGGACAAGGTAGGAACAGCAGAAGTTTCTCGAGAAGATCTGTGATGTAAGGAATACTTTCTGCTAGCATAAGCTGTGGAAACCTTCCAGCAGTTTTGCAGTACTGTGCATTTGCCTCTGTTACACTTCCTCACTTTAATTTATAAGAAATACTGTTCCAACAGTCTTAATATGCAGTATTAGGTGAGCCCAGCCATGCCAATACACTTTTGGAACCACAGGAGCAATAGGGAACAAACAGACAAACAAAGCCTGATTGCGTTCTGTATTTTGCTTCACAGGAAAAACGTGACTTCAACCCCAGCTCGAGATAAATATCAAAGCCATAACAAGATACGGGAGAACGTTGGTCCTAGCACCTAGAACTTGAGAACGCAGACACGTACTATTTTTAATAAAAAGAATACTTTGGGCTGAAATAGCAGACTATACTTTTGCATTTAGCATAAGCCTCGTACCTTGTGCAGCTTTTCTCGTCTCTCATCACAGTCTGGCATACCTCTGAGACTTGGTGGAATATACCAAAAACATACATTCGTGTGCTCCGGCTGCAAAAAGAATCAAACACATACAGAGTAAAGAAATACAGGTCAATCATGTACTTTAAGGGCCAATATACTTTCGCACAGATCTGAAAGCAAAAAAAAAAAAAGAATTGCAGAACTAAACCTTTGCATCTGCCCTATGAGATTTCTTATACATTGTCCCATCTTAGCATGTTAATGCCACCTGGCAAATGCCTTCTACCTTCATGCAGTGTTACAGGGAACTGCTTTCAAGGCTCCCTACACGGGTAACTCTATTTTCCTTTTCATAGTCAATGAAGAGACAATATATTTATGTTATTCTATCAAAGACTTTATACAGTGGCACTAGTAACGCAAGATATTGCAAAACCAGCAGATTTGCAGTGAAATACATGGTGGCACCTGGAATCTCAGCATAAATAGATGGCATTAATGTAGCTTCACGCTTTACATTCATAAATTGCAAAACACATAACTTTGGCCCATGCACACTGGTTAAGCGAAAGTAAACTTACCTCTCCTTCAAAGACCATCTCAAATTCTTCTCTGTTTTTTATTTTAGTATAGAGGTATTCTGCCAGTTCCAGGCATTTGTTGATCTGATTTTCAAATCCCACTGTACCCTATTTTAAAAAGAAAGTTAGTATTAATCACAAAGTACTTTTTCCTCCTCAGACGTAATCGTCTTTTCGGAGACATTTCACTCTAAAATGGCTTCAGACATACAACATTTAGTAGAATTATTTCTAGCAATTTAGAAGTCAAGTCAACCAGTTGCATCAGAAGCAGCTAAATGGGTCACAAACCGTAATCACCATTGGGTTCTGTTCTGTTCCTAAGAGCATTTATAATGATTACAGGAAAGACTTTTGATATGTTTAATATAGTATCTTTAGTTCTCTTCAGTTTCTAAAAACTGAAACATTAAGCCTTGTTTTCCCAGTTCTTGCTGAAAGACTGCAGGCATGGAAGAGAATTCCAACGGAAAGAGTAAGATTTGGGAAGTAATCTATTTCATTTAAACAGTTTGCGAGAACTCTGTATTTTAAAAAGCCAGCAAATAAAAGCTTGTCTGCTTAAAGTCATTTGCCTACCTACTGGTCTTTTGTAGCAGCTGATCTTCTGAAAGATCATAATGATCTCTTTAAAAAGATGAGTGCTGATAATGAATGAAATAGGAAAAACAAAACTTTTAAAAAGTACACTTCTGCATATGAATGAAAAACTAAAAATAATAGGAGCACACTGTTACTCATTACCGTACTGCAGGACCATTCCTGAACAACACTGATCTAGTGACTTAGAACTTGCCATTTTCAGCCAAATGAACTGGTGGTTAACATTGTTCTATTAGCTGAACGGTTCTTTTCTGACCACGTATCTGTGTGTTTAGAGGTTGTGTTTACACAAGTATTAAGAAAGCCTTCCATTGCATTAAATGTATAAATTAAATAAATAACTTCTGATGTTTTAAGTGGGCTTTTATGATTTACCTTTGCCTTCCACATCAACCAGAATTTGAAAATGTCCACATGTCGACCACACTGTATTGCCTTATCTCCGGTGTCATAGGATACGTCATATTGTTTGTCTTGCTGGAAAAGATATCCTGCACACATTTGATTGCAGCCTTGAAGTATACCCTGTAATGAAAAACACGTACATACATGAAACATATTGCATGTATGCATGTTAATGATACATAAAGTTGTATATCAAATATATACAGAAGAATTGCTCTGTAAATGGACAAATTATGAAAAACGGACCTGAAACGGATATGAAAAAAAACCTGAGATACAGACAAGATTTCATAAACTCAGGTGTTTTCCTCAGAACTTCCTCAAATGCATTTGGATTCTTAATTTCCATCACTAACTTAGTTCATTTCATACCATAAGGCTGTGCTTTTAAGACCCAAATATTTGATGTATTAAATTACATAGTAGGTGACAGTTGCATCCTCTCAGGGCTGCATAAAGCTACAAGAAATGTAGGAAAAAAAAAATTGAAGTCTCCAACTTCATGTTTTGTCCAATTTACTGACACCTTGTCATGGTTTTGTGATTTTTGGCTTTCGGTATTCCACATCATAACATCATGTGGGGCACTGGGACTTTAACTGTCAACGCTCAAGTCCTGGGTACCTGCCCTGAAGAGAAGAAGAACTACATTCCCCAGGGGACCTTGCGGTCGGGGAGAGGAGGTTTAACTCCTGGCAAGGTCATCTGATGTGCTTTTTCTCGCCTGCCCTTCGTCGTGGGCGCTGCTCGGTCTCCCTGCTGCTCAACTGGACTGCGCATCTCACCTCAGCGTTGTGGTGAGGCCTATCCACCTTTCGGACATTCTCTCTCTCTCATTATATTTGATTTATTAGCTTCAATTCTGATCATATTGTGTTATAGTGTGTTATCTTGCATTCCGATATATATTCAGTAAATTAGTTTGTTTCTCCTCAGATCGTTGCCACTGTTTTTAATTATTTTGGGGTCCCCTGTTTCTTTCCTTCCAGAGGCGTGGATCTGCGGATCCCTCCACCCCACTCATCACGGAACCGGGCCGAACCAGCCCGTAAACCGTTGACACACCTAACGCTAGTAATGATTATAAACACTAATTATCAAACCTGGATGGTTTTTGCTTAGCAAGCAAGGAGAAGGGGTGCATCACAGTCGCTGCTTTTAAAATGATGGCCTATAAGCCAATAGAAACTTATAAATTATGGGTAAGAGTGTACACAGAAAACACAAAGGAGAAAACTCCTATATGTTAAGCAGAAATTTTTAAAATACCGTGCAAGATTTAAAAAAAAAAAAAAAAAGCTTTTTTAATTAAGCAGTTTAGACTGCGACCAATCACTCAGATCACTGCTGTACATCCCGTATACCAGGGGAATGAAGAGGCAGGTGCAAGTATACAAGCATAGCTGTAGTGCAGTTAGAATATGCAAAGATCCAACAGCTGAGGATCTGACCCGTATTGCTTACAACTTTGACAAAAATAAATAAATAAATAAATAAAACATAAAAGAATAGCAATTTCCTAAGTACAGTATAAACCCAAAAGATTGTGCACTATTCTTTTGAAAAGCAAAATTTGATAGTTACAACTTTTTTAACTTTTTAATTACTAAATATAAAGCCGACCTTCTCCCGGACCAGAATGGCAGAACACTGCAGCAATACTCCCATCATCTTGTGTGGATTCCAAGTGACTGAATTAGCTCTGAAAATAAGTAATAACATACACATTCAGATAGGTCTGAAAAAGAGAAATTCAATCTGGAGTTTGCCTTAGTTATCTGCTTTGAGCTGGAAACATACAGAGTTTTTAACCAGCTGACTTCACTATGGAGATTATTACTGCCTCAGGTCTGTGTCTCCTTTCCCAGCTGAATTGTCCAGTAAAGGGGATTTTCGTGTTGACTTCAAATATCAGACTGCTGATCAGTTCGTATTATTATTAATAACAGCTAATTAGTGTCAGACTGCATTGATTAACTGAAACAGCAACTTTGTCCCCCCAGAATCCCACTTTAGAAACAGTACTAACAAAACTAACAAAAACAGTATGGACTGTGTGATGGGACAAAGAACTAAGGAAACAATCTGGAGCACTAGAAAAGTATATTTGCTGAACAGTTGGTGGAAATGTAAAAGTAAAGGAAAATTCACTTTGAATGCTTATCTGGTTTTCCAGCTAGAGCCAAAAGTGGCCTTTGTGCTATCTTGCTAAGCCCATGGACCATTAAAAGGCTATAAAACTTTATAATCCTACCATTCTGTGTGTAAAGGTTAAGACTCCTTAAGCGTACATGCAAGTGGATGCACAAGATCATCTAATTTAATTGCCAAGATAAGACATTCTATATTTTTAATATATCAATCTAGACAGTTTATTGTTGATGCTAAAATAAATGTACCAACATAATATGTCCACTGACCTCCTCACCCCAAGCTATTAATTACCAAATATCCCTTGATTCACTGCATGTTCCAGAGAAGGAAACAACGTAAAGATATTTAACAGACTACACATGTGTTCATGCAATCATAGAACTATGGAATATCCCAAGTTGAAAGGGACCCATAAGGATCATCATGTCCAATTCCTGATTCCACACAGGACTACACAAAAAAAAGACTATATATCTAAAAGCCTTGTCTAGATGCTTCTTGAACACCAGAAAGCACGGTGCCACATTTCCCTGGGGAGGCTGTTCCAGTGATTGAAGCTCCCCTTGGTGAAGAACCTTTTCCTGATACCTAGCCTGAACCGCCTGTAACAACTTATTGAAACATCGTTGAATGAAATTTCAAAGTGATCTCCCCCACTCCTACCCACTGCTCCCAGAAAACAAGCACAACCACAGTTCCTGTTTCAGGCAACATGACAATTCATTCACTCTAATCTGAAGACCACATATTCCATAAAGATTCCAGATAGAAATCCAACCTCCATCTGCACTAGGCTGGATAGAAGCATATCTCAGGCAAAAGAATAATGTGGCATAGTGTGGCATCTGCAGGGTGTACCCTCCTTCTAGAGCTTCCTTAGGCAGCGTGGACCAGCAGGTTAAGTAGGTGTGCCAATTAAACTAGCGTAGGTAAAATAAATTGTTTTTGCAATACCAATTTCATATTAAGATATGTTGCCTGTGACTAGCAAACTGGATTTGGCATAGTGCTCTGCTGATTCAGAGCTGCTATAACATCCTATACTGTGCCAGAATTGCCCGTATGTTTCTCCTACCAGTCCTGCCACACATCATTCTTTCTTACAGTACGAGATGTCCACCACTGGGAAAGTTTATTTAATGAAGAACTTCATCCACTGCTCTCATTTATGCCTTTAGAAATTGTCCACATTTGGCACAGTTGTCTCAAGGAAGGAATTTGGTAATTATTAAAGAGGATGTGGGTAGAGCTTGTTTCAGATCTTCTTTTTACTTTTCTGGAAGCTGATATTTGCAGTGATGGGGGAAGATCTTATGAGGAAGATCTTATGATTCTGGTTCTTCATTGCTGTTCTGACTTTTCTTCAGATGAGCAGCATTTTATGACAGAACAGTTTCAGGAGAAATCTGGAGACAATTTTTATAATCTCTTAAAAACTATGCCAAGAACACTCTCCTCTCCATTTTTTTGCCAAGTGATATCCTTGCATTCCTTTGAATCTCTTGGAAACTTGACTTTCTCTGATGTATATATACACCTCACTGTTGTCTTGTACAGAATTGTTTGTTATACTTCTAGTTAATTTAATATTTAAATTCTTTATTCACAAATTCATGAAAAGATGAATTTGCTGGAAATGTCATGTACTTCACTAAGTTAAATAACAGGATTACTAACAAACTGTGCAGTACCTTTCTATTCCATTCAGCTTATGACGATGCTTTCGGGACATTAAGAGTCCACCTCCCCAAGCAGCCTGGAAGAGATGAGAACAAAAGAGAAGATTTGTCATTCTGAAAAGTCTAATATATTTTAACTTACTCAGGATAATAAATATTTTGTTTCAAGACAAAATATGTAAACCTAAATCCTCCATTGCCTGACTAATAGCACGTCAGTCAATTACTTACATCTACATGGAGCCAGAGGTTGTATTTTTCACATATATCTGCAATCTCCTGTATTGGATCAAAGGCTCCGTAAACTGTTGTGCCCGCAGTTGCATTTACGAAGAGAGGAATGTATCCCTACAGTGCAAACAACAGGATTATTTACAGAACTCAGCCTCTTTCAGGAAAAACAAAAAGTGAAAATCACGATTTTGAATTAGATGAAACAAATGTGAACTGCAACTCTATGGAGTATGCAAGGGTAAAGAAGTTAAGAAATCAAGAACAATCTTGGTAGCATTAACTTTGGTGGTTTTATATAAAATGGTTAGATTTCTCCTTGCAAGGAATAACAACGAATGCTTAAAAATCAAGCTTACTGGCTACAGTTACTGACCCTACACTCTCACACTTGGAAGCTAAGGGAATTTTTAGGATTATCATTCAACAGAATTTTTGATGGTTTGAACAAACACCAAAGTTTGGCAAAAATAGTTTTAATTTCTTGTTTTAGCATTTTTCCATGTATTTCCAAAGAGAAAGTTATTTTAAAAAGTTGTAAAATACAGATGTGAGACAATATATAAACAAAACAAAAAAAAAGAAAAAACATTATTTAATATTTTAGGTAGATTATGAATGTATTTATGTAAATAGAAACCATTGCAAGATAATTCCCTAAACAATACAGAAATAGATAATCTGAAAAACACTATTACAAGATTATGTTGTTATAATGTATTTATTTAATGCTACCCCTCAGCCTTCCAAGGAAAAAGCAGCACATTTTATCAAGCCAACATTTAAGCACTATTTAAAAAAAAAAGACAAAAAAAATTACAAACCTTTTGTTTTGCTTCCAAAATTTTTGCTTCCAAATCAGCTGGTATTATTTTGCCTCTGTAATTATTGTAAAAACAAAGACCAAGAAAATTGAAGATTGTATATAGAAATACTAGCTACAGTTGAAATAACTTAATAGCATTTTCTCAACAGGTGATTAGCAACTCGACACACTGTATTGAACCAGACCTTAAGTATACCAAAACAAATTTAACAGATGAACACATTTAATATATCAAAACATTAGCATCCATCTTACCTTTCATTGCACTTTATCAAAATTACATTGTCTGTTCCAAATCCAAGTGCAGCTCCAGCTTTCTTTATTGAGTAGTGACTCTGCAGGAAAGCACGTGCATATGGAGGGGTCATTTAATAACAAAATGTACATCAATAAATTAACAGTTAGAAGTGTAATCTCACATGTTCTGAGGTAAAGAGAACCAGTTTAGGGACTGCAGCCATGCCTTTGGTTTTGACTTCAGGGAAATATTTATAGCGTGCGGCCATTATGCTGTACATGTTGGAGATAGCTCCTCCTGTGAATGAATAAACAAATGAATACTAAAATAGTGATAAGAAAAAATGAATATTATACCAGACACATTGGCATTATCAGGGAAAGTGACAGCGAACTATGAAAAGTAAATCTCTGAAAAGCGAGGCATCTAAGTAGCATAAGAGCAGATGCTCTAGAAAGTTATACCAATAGCCTAATCTATCAGCTCTTTCAATTGCTACTATTTTGTAACACTTTTCTAAAATTATCAGTTTCCATTGTACTGCTTTTGCAGGACAGTGTCTTGTTAGTAAGAAAAATGGGAAGTTATCAAATTCTCCTGAGGCTAAAGTCATGTACAGTATAGATTTATCCCATCTCATCTGTAAATACAGAACCAGATGCCTAAAAGATAGGTTTCTCCAACTAAGATAGTAATCCTAAGCTACCTTCATAGTAAGTTTAAATAAAGAGGTACTTTCAGGCTAATTCAACTGGTATATTTTGATACATCTGAGGAATATGAACACATTGTGAAAAACGTTTTTTTCTCTTTCTCTTATTCTACAAAAAGCCCAGTCCAGATACCTTAGCTGTACAATGCAGATATCAAAATTTAGTAAGAAGAATATCATCCATAAAGTTTAGGAGAATTTATTTCACTACTATTTCATTACCAACCAGAACATCGGCAAAAATTTTCTCATACATGGGACTAGAAATCAAGCAAGAGTGCTTTCCTGGATTTTATGCAGGCTGTTCCAAAAGGAGGTAATATTTGTCCTTTGTTCTCTGAAACAGGATGGTCTTCCCCTCATCAACAAACCCAGATACCTGGAGTACTGTTGGGTGCCCATTATCCAGACATGGACCTGGGGCTTTCACGTGTTTTCCCATTCTTATCTACAACTGCTGATTGCTTTTATACCACTGTAACAGGAAGACAACTGTGGCCTGTTCTTCAGAACCATACTTTGGGAATCCAGCTGGTTTTCTGAAAGTTACACATAGTCTCTTTTTCTCAATAGCAGGACATGGTTCTGGAGGTTAGCAGCCCAAGAAATAAGGCACAACGAAGGGTGTTTAAATGCCTAACCATGTTCCAGAATTTGTAACCAAGCTTTAAAAATGTTACCAGTGTTCTATGTAGCCAAGATAGACATACTC